TGGCCCAGCTGGAGGCCGTTCCCTCTCCTCCTGTCCCTGTTCCCTGGGAGCAGAGCCCGACCCCCCCCGGCTCCCCCCTCCTGGCAGGGATTGCAGAGCCAGAAGGTCCCCCCTGAGCCTCCTTTTCTCCAGGCTGAGCCCCCCCAGCTCCCTCAGCCCCTCCTGCTGCTCCAGCCCCTTCCCAGCTCCATCCCCTTCCTCAGCCTGGAATGTCCATCCCTGTGTGTTGCTGCTCCGGGGGCAGGTCCTGCAGTTCCTAATTCCAGGATGTGTGTGTTGTGCAGGGCTCTAGCTGACATGAACAATGATGGCAGGATGGATCCCTTGGAGTTCTCCATAGCCATGAAGCTCATCAAGCTGAAGCTCCAGGGGTACCAGCTCCCCTCTGCTCTGCCCCCCATCATGAAGCAGCCGCCGCTCGCCCTGCCCGGCGCCCCAGGATTTGGTAAGCTCCCTGCTCCTCCTCCTTGCCTTGCCTTGCAGCACCCCCACTGAACTAGGTTGACATTTTACAGTTTCTGAAAGAAAATCTTAGGAAAAGTGTTTCCAAAGGGCATAGACTCGAAACCAGATGCTGCATGTACTCCCCCAAAAATTGTACCGGGCTTTGAGCACAGTAACATGAGCTGAGGTCCTGTTTGCCGCAGGCCTGACTCTACTCCAGACAAAAGGTGGCTCAGCTAGCAGGGCTGGTGCATCCCAGAGTGCTGGAGTTTAGATTCCAACTTGGCCTTATGGCATCTCCAGCTTTGGCAAGATGAGCTCTGTTTTCCTTGAGTTTTTGCAAGCACCTTCTGCTTTTATTTTAAGAATAGTGCTGCTCTGGCATGAGCTGCTGGTTCAGTCCTGGGAGTTAAGTGGTGCCAAAGTCACCACCACTTCAAGGAAGAGTAGGGAAATGGGATGGGGAGAGGAAGATAAGTGAAAGTGAACCTCATGTTTGACACACTGATGCACTCCTGTGTCCTGCAGGGGCAGGTTCTTCACCTTTCTGGGTTAGTCAATGCTGTGACTCAGGTTTATTGGTGCTTGAGAATCCCAGACTGGTTTGAGTTGGAAGGGACCTCAAAGCCCATCCAGTGCCACCCCTGCCCTGGGCAGGGACACCTTCCACCAGCCCAGGGTGCTCCAAGCCCCGTCCAACCTGGCCTGGGACACTTCCAGGGATCCAGGGGCAGCCACAGCTTCTCTGCCCAACCTGTGCCAGGGCCTGCCCACCCTCCCAGCCAGCAATTCCTTCCCAATATCCCATCTAAATGTCCTAAGAAAGGGGAGCAGTGCCTCTGATAGCTGCCTGCAGCAATGGGGTTTGATCTGCTGCCGCTCACACAAGTTTTACAGTTACAAATAAAACTGTAAGAAAACAACGAAACTGGACAGAGCAAATACAGGTTTAAGTTAGAAAAAGCAGAATAAATTTAACCCCCTACAAAAATCAGCAAAATCTGTGATTCCCTTTCTCTCGTTCCCTGTACACTTGATCCCAGCTGTTTGCTTGTTCTTCCCACTGGCTTGACTGGCCCTTTTTAACCTCCCTGTTCTCCCTGTAACTGTGCTCACCACTAAAACACTCATCACTGTGCTGTCCCCATTAGCTTTGCCCTGTTTCATCCCAACAATAGCTGGGAGCACTGATCCTGCAGCTCCTTGTGCAGCCTGGGGGCTCATTCCTGCCTGGAGCTCCCAGTGCTGCTCTTCCTTTGGTTCCGGGCAAACAATTCCTTTCTTAGCAAATGCTGGTGGGTTTTTGGGGCAGGGCTGCACCCAGTGTGGTGGTCTGTGCACACAGGCAGGGTGTTGTTCCCTGTGCCCTGGGTGTGTGGGTTCCCACGGAGGCTGCAGCCGTTGTGTCCCGTCTCAACCAGCACAACTCTCTCCTTTCTCGCCCGTAGGTCTCGGGGGCATTGCCAACATGCCCTCCCTCAGCTCTGTGGCCCCGGTGCCCATGGCATCCATGCCGGTGGTGGGGATGTCCCCACCGTTAGTGTCCTCAGTTCCTGCCGTCCCTCCCCTGGCTAACGGAGCTCCTGCTGTCATCCAGCCTCTGCCTGCTTTCGCTCACCCCGGTACGCTCAGCTCCCGCCTCTGCTGTTAACTCTGAGCACTGCCCCGAGCCCCAGGGCAGCATTCCTGGGATTGGCCTTTCCAGAGGGGCCTCTGGGAAGGACTGGGCTGGGCTTGAGCCCGCTGGCACTGGGAGAAGAGTTAAAGGAGTGTGGACATGTCCCACTGCAGGAGTCTGTCGTGGTGAGAAAATAAAAACAGCACTTGGAGAAATTAACTGGTGCCAAGAGACTGAGACTCTCCTGTCTCTTTATAACTGTTAAGTACTGCTGTTTGGGAGGGCTTTGAAATACTGGACTACATATCCTTTATCCCAATGTAATTTGGTATCAGCAGGGTTTGCATGAAACTGTGAAAGTAAACAAAGCACGAGGGAAGAGCCCTTGTGTTTCCTCCTGCTCTGTTGGCCTCCCCTACCTTCATGTTGTTAAAGAGATCCCAGCAGACCAGAGTGCCTGTGCAGTGTTAGGAATTGACTGAATGGCATGCAAGTCCTACAGCTTGAAGTGCTGGCACTAATTAATGCCTGGTTTCTCCTTCACAGCCACATTGCCAAAGAGTTCTTCCTTCAGCAGATCCGGCCCAGGAGCTCAGCTCAATGCAAAGCTGCAGAAGGCACAGTCCTTCGACGTGCCCAGGTGGGTCGTGGGGCAGGCTCTGGGTGGAGGTGGGCATTTGGGTCCCCCACACTTGGAAAAAATCCCTTCTCTGTCACAAAGTCGTTTTCTGAAATGATGTTTCCTGCAGAAACCAATCCCTGCTGATTTCAGCACTTCACGGCGTGCCGTGGTTTCACAGGGAATGCTCCAGGAGCAGGACATCGTGGAAATACAATAATTAACTATTAACAGTGTTGACACTGTTTTCAAGCTCTTGAAAACTTAATTTTTAGAAAAGCCTTTGCTCCTGTGAACACAACATGTGTTGTGCAGTCCTGCACAGACACTCCTGGTAGTGTGACAACACAACAGCTAATGCATTTAAAATTGGCAACTCCAGGGTTATTTTTAAAAGCAAAATATTTAATAGCTCTCATATTTTAAATGCACTCCACGTAATACTTTCTTCTATATTCTTCAAGTTCTGAGTGAAAAACCACCTTTTTAGATGTAGGTCTTTTAAATTATTTCAAGGCTCAGAGTCCCGATGGCCATCAGTGACCAGTGGTGCCTCAGGGCTCCATCCTGGGCCCAGTGGGATCTGATCCCCTCCCCAGTGACACACACAGGGCTCGGGGGCACCCTCAGCAGGTTTCAGGTGACCCCAAGCTGAGGCTGCAGGGACACCCCTGAAGGATGGACCATCCAGAGGGACCTGCCCAGGCTGCAGCAGCGGCCCCTGGGAATCTGCTCAGCTTTAACAGGGCCGAGTGCTGGGGCTGCACCTGGACTGGGCACCCCTGGGATCAATCCAGGCTGGGCAGGAGCAGATGGAGCAGCCCTGGGAGAAGGCCCTGGGGGTGCTGGTGGGGCAGAGGCTGGACATGAACCAGCCAGAACCCCCCGTGCCCTGGGCTGATCCCCCAGCGTGGGCAGCAGGGCAGGGGGGATTGTGCCCCTCTGAGACCCCCCTGCAGTGGGGGTTCATCTCATCCCACCCCTGACATGGACAGGGACACCTTCCACCAGCCCAGGCTGCTCCAAGCCCCGTCCAACCTGGCCTGGGACACTTCCAGGGATCCAGGGGCAGCCACAGCTTCTCTGCCCAACCTGGGCCAGGGCCTGCCCACCCTCACAGGGAAGAATTCCTTCCCAATACTGGGGAAAAGAACCTTTTCAGGTGTAAAACTTGATTTCTGTGTAGCACTTTACCTCCTTGTGAGGCTGTTGAGGCCCTGGCACAGGTTGGGCAGAGAAGCTGTGGCTGCCCCTGGATCCCTGGAAGTGTCCCAGGCCAGGTTGGACGGGGCTTGGAGCACCCTGGGCTGGTGGAAGGTGTCCCTGCCCATGGCAGGGGAGGGATGGGATGATCTGTAAGTGCCCCTCCAAACCCAATCCTTCTGATATTCTGTGCCTGAAGTGCTGATGTTCCCCCTGACACCCTGTGCTGTGGTTGCAGTGCTCCCCCCGTGGCAGAGTGGGCTGTCCCTCAGTCCTCACGGCTCAAGTACCGGCAGCTCTTCAACAGCCACGACAAAACCATGAGTGGACACTTGACAGGTACTGGAACAATTTTTATTGTCTCTCTTTTTTGAGCTGTAAAAGGCCAATTTGAGTCTTGCTGAGGCTGCTGTTCACATGGTAAGAGACTCATCAATATTTTTCTGTGTCACTCTCCCAAGTGCTTAATGGTCTTGTTTAGAAGTGAATATTCATCACAGCTGGGATCATTCTATCACCATCTCTCCTTTATTTTCTGCAACATAAATTGACCCTGGGAAATCATTCTGGAAAAGGGCACAGTGGGTTCTGTGAGAACTTGTGCAGCCATTTCCAGGGTTCAGTTCACCCACTGCTGGGAGCACCTGGCCAGTTCCAGGAAGGACCTGAGCTGGTTCCCTGGCTCAGCTTTCCCAGTTTTGGTGCATCTCTTTGTGTTTTGGAGCTTTTTGGTGTTTAATCTGAAATATTTGGTTGCCCAGAGAAGCTGTGGCTGCCCCTGGATCCCTGGAAGTGTCCCAGGCCAGGTTGGACGGGGCTTGGAGCACCCTGTGCTGGTGGAAGGTGTCCCTGCCCATGGCAGGGGTGGCACTGGATGGGCTTGGAGGTCCCTCCAACCCAAACCAGTCTGGGATTCCATGATAATTGGGCAGAAGGGATGGATAATGTATTTGTTATTTGGGGAGCCAAATAACATCTGTTATAACAAATAACAGATGCTGATCACATCTCAGCAGTGTTGCTTGTTTGTTTGTTAATATTTGTTTCCCTTTCAGGTCCCCAAGCAAGAACAATCCTCATGCAGTCCAGTTTGCCCCAGGCTCAGCTGGCCACAATATGGTAAAAATAAATCCTTTCATTTCCCTCCAAACACAAACTGTTCTTAAACCTCTGCACTGGGTTCTGTGGGGTTTTCTCCATTTTCACGTTTCTCTTTTTCATGTATTACTTTATAAAACAAAACCTGCACCTGTGTGCCTTTATTGATGTTCACAGAAGTAGCAGGAGCATGTTCTGTGTGATGCTCAGGTTGGGGTTCAGGGAGGGGTTTTTAGGCAGAGCAGATTTCAGCACCCTGTGCCTCCCCCATCCCTGACCCCACATGAAGCAGCACCAGTGAAACCTTTCCCTTTGCACAGCTTGTACAACAGGAAGCTTAACCCAAACCACACTTCCTTGGGGCTTTCTCTGCCTTTTCCATGAGTTTGGAAGGGCTGATTTCCCAGGGGCTGAAGTTAGAGACATCACAATAAGGAACTTTAAAAGGATTTGTCTCAGCCTCTCTTTCTCCTTTCAACTGGTTGTTTGCTGAACTTTATTATATTCTTACTGCCACATGGGAAATTGTTCCTAATTAATTTCTCTCCTTTATGACTCTTTGCTTGCAAACCATTGGAGCTCACCCACCTGAACTGCACTTGTTCTCTTTGCAAAGCCCTGATAGTTTCGTTATATATTAAAAACCACTCTTCCTTCTCTGTTCCATAACAAAGGGATAAAAATAAATCAGCCCAGTAGACAATTTTCCAAAAAATACTCGGCTTGTTGCCAGCCTTGAAGTAGGTTGTGTGGACAGGCGTCAACCCCCAGTGAACTCCAGGAGTTCTACACAGAACTCATTCCATTTTGGCCATCCAAACTGCCAAGTCCATGGAGATAAGAATGGATGTTCCAGCTCCTGTTGTCCTAGGAGTGGCTCCCTTTCCTGGGCCAGTGGAGCTGCAGGTGCTGTTCTCTGGGAGAGCAGAAGGTTTCTCAGGCTGGAATAGCTGATCAGTTATTTCTTTGCACCCCAGATTTTCGTTCTCCTGGCTTGTTCTTGCCTCCAGCCTGAGGAGTCAGTGACACAAGCTGTGGATCAGATGAGGCTGGAATTGTCTTCCAAATTTAAATCCCATCAACAAAGTCCTGTGCCTCAGAACATCAAAATAATATATCCCTTCCTTGCCTTTGATTGTCACATTACCATGGGAGATTTTCCTGCTTGATTAGAGTGCAGCAGGCTAGAGAAACAAATCCTGAGCTGGCAGGGACCCCCAGGGATCATCCAGTCCCACCCCAGGCCCTGCCCAGGACACCCCAACACTCCCCCCTGTCCCTCAGAGCGTTGCCCAAAGGCTCCTGGAGCTCTGGCAGCCTTGGGGCCGTGCCCACTGCCCTGGGGAGCCTGGGCAGTGCCAACCACCCTCTGGGGGAAGAACCTTGTGCTGAGCTCCAACCTGCGCCTGCCCTGGCACAGCTCCAGCCCTTCCTTGACTCCTGTCCCTGGGCAAAGTTCAAGCTGTCAATTTTGTCCAGTGCCACCTTCACACAGGCAAAAGCATTTTGTGCCTGGGCTGGGGTGTTACTCCATAACTTTTAGTATGTGCATAATGCCAGAGTGGTTTTGTGCTTGTCAGGACTAGAACATTAATGGCTTGCATTTCAGTGCCAGTGGGAGCTCTGGAATGTGAGGTGGGAGCCTCCAGGGAAGAGGGAGACCAAACCAAAAAGTTCTGCCAAACGTCTGAGCTGGTTCTTTTCTGAGTGACATTGGGCAGTGGATGTTCACAAGGTGTTCAGGAAAACTCCCCTGGTTCGTGTCCCTTCTCCAGCACGTGGTCCAGGCAGCACTCAGAGCAGGAGGAGGAGCAGCCATGGCTACAAGGCTGGTTTCAAGGCACACATCCATGAGGATTGTGGGAAGCAGGAGAGCGTTTGGGTTTCGCTTTTCGTTTGTTTTGGAAAAAAGTAGTGTGGACAAAGAAAGTGAAAAAAATGAATTAATTTGGAACTGACTGTGTGAAAATGGTGCTTTTGGACAGTGATTTATAATATTTTCTCATTGCTTTACTTTGCCCCTTCCCTTCAAAAGGAATCTTTCTGATATCGACCAGGATGGGAAGCTGACAGCTGAGGAGTTTATTCTGGCTATGCACCTCATTGATGTAGCTATGTCTGGGCAGCCACTGCCCCCTGCACTGCCTCCAGAGTATATCCCACCTTCCTTTAGGTAACACTCGGGGATCTCACTCCTGAATTTCTGTTCCATTTGGGAAAGCTGTCCTGTGAGTGGAAATTAGCACAGCAGACTGAGCAGTGACCCCTGTCCTTGTCCTGTCAGAACAGTTTGGGGGATGCTTTATGCTGACACACCCGACACAGCTTGCTTAGTCTGGCCATAGAAATCCAAAGCTTATAGTTCCTTACAGCAAATGGAATGTACTGGAACTCCAGACACATTATGGATCTACACTGTACCACACGTACAGCCCCCTTGGTACAGCTGCATCTGTGACAACTGGGGTCACTCATCACTTCTCTTCCTCTATTTCACTTCTAGTTTGGTGGAGAAATGGGTGGGAAGACAATCCATTGTAATGGAAATAGATGTTGGCATACTGTACTCTTCAGGTATCCTCCTGGAGATTCCCATTGTTTTGTGTATTCCACCTGGGATCTTGCTTTTAGCCTGACTATACTGAGCTCTTCCTCTGTCTCTGCTGCTTGTGCTGTAGTTTAAAAGCCAGCTTCAGACTGGGCACCTGTGAGAGATTCTGGGGACAGGGCTGGACATATTGGGAAGTTTCATGGAGAACTTGGAACAGGGTTTCTCAGGTCACCAGGGAGAGCTGTTGGGACTCTGGGCAATAACGTCAGTCCTAAGGGAATGTCTGAGTAAAACCCTCTGAAAGAACATTAAACGTCATAAAATGTTACACCACTGCATTGAATTTGGTTTCCTCATTAATCCTGAGTAATTTGGGTAGGCACAGGTTGTCCTAAGCACCTGAAATCCCTGTTTTCTTGGCAGAAGAGTCCGCTCTGGCAGTGGGATATCTGCTACCAGCTCAGTGTCTGTAGACCAAAGGTTACCAGAAGAACCAGCATTAGAGGAAGAGCAGCAGCAACTGGAAAAGAAATTACCAGGTGAGCGGGTGAAAAGAGGGATATTTCGTGTTCCAGGAGGGATATTTCGTGTTCCAGGAGGGATATTTCGTGTTCCCAGAGGGATGTTCCCGTGTTCCCCGTGCTGGGGGGTTGCACAGCCTACCTTAGGGGTTGGTGACATGTCAGAGGCATCACCAGGACACTGCTATGTCCAGCTGGTTCCTGATCCTTTGTGCTGGGACTCTGGAGGTGGGAACAGCCTCCAGGCTGCTCCTCTCCTGCACTCCCACGGGCAGCACTTTGCACCCCTCTTACAGGACTGCCAGGAGAACTCCTTGCTGCCTTCATCCTCTGGCGTGGGTGCTCTGGGAAAGATCCCAGCATTCCCACAGAGCCCTGATTCCTCACAGCCTGTGTAACAGTGGGGGGTTTGTCCAAGTTTCAGCAGCTCTGGGGAAGGAACAAAAGGGAGAGAAAAGGGAACTGGCAACAGGAAAGGGGGACAGACTTGAAAAGACCAGAATTCAGCTGGTTCAGCAGCTGTTGGGCAACAGTGTGTGCACACCTGGGAGGAAATATGAGCTGTCTCTTGCCTTGTATCCCAAAAATGTCCATATTGGGCATACAGGGAGAGAAGTGTGGACTGTGGGGGATGGGAATGGGAACAGAGGGTATGGAAAGGAACAGAAAGCGAAGTGGGAAGAATAATGTGGAGGGAGGACAATCCCTGGTGCTGCAGAGGGATGTCAGGGAACCTGTACTGGACCTGAGGTCACTTTTAGGCCAGTGGTGAGGATGTGGATGTGCAGGAACCCAGATTCCCTGGGCTCAGCTGCTCCAGAACTTATGACCATTTCTTTCCTGGCAGTAATGAGTGGTCTGGGGAGAATATCAAGTTTAAATTCATTGTGGTGGTTTGCATGCTGGCTTTTTGATGGGGTCACCAGCTGAATCCTTGGCCTTGCTCTGATGGAAGTTCTGGCTCTGGGACAGCTGCAGTTATCTGCTGGTCCTGTGTCCTTCCAGAGGATCACCTGGAGAATGCTTGGCCTAAATCACCCCCACCTGTTGGACTTCCAAACCTGGAAGGAAGCCTGAGGGGTGGGGATGGACCCCCACACCTTGTTCTCCTGAGGGTGTGGGTTTGAGGGGAGCAGCGGTGTAAATGCTGAACCTCAGAATGACCCCTAGAGCTCCGTTACCCCACATTATCCTCCCTGACCTGCTGCTGCTGGGAGGTTGTTCCCCCTGCACTCAGCACACACAGGACTGATGTGAGTGAGCCGGTGACAGATTCCTGCCCCTCTCTGTGGTTTCCACCCCCACCAGTCACGTTCGAGGACAAGAAGCGGGAGAACTTCGAGCGGGGGAACCTGGAGCTGGAGAAGCGGCGCCAGGCGCTCCTGGAGCAGCAGCGCAAGGAGCAGGAGCGGCTGGCACAGCTGGAGCGGCAGGAGCAGGAGAGGAAGGAGCGGGAGCGGCAGGAGCAGGAGCGCAAGAGGCAGCTGGAGCTGGAGAAGCAGCTGGAGAAGCAGCGGGAGCTGGAGCGGCAGAGGGAGGAGGAGAGGAGGAAGGAAATCGAGAGGAGGGAGGTGCGTGGAGCACAGGGTGGCCCAGGCAGGGGGTGCTGAGCACGGCCTGGGAGGGGCACATGGCCTGGGCTGACACTGGCACTGAGCAACACTGGGAACAGGAGCACACATCTCGGGGGGTTGGAGGTAAGGAAGAGTCAGCAAGGCCTTCATTTTTCCTGTGGAGGGAATGGGGGAGATGTTTCCATGTAGGACAGCGTGCTGCTGACCTCTGACTTCTTTAAAAATGATGATTATTGTTATTTGATATAAAGAGATGCTTGAATGAATGAAGAAAAACCTATGGCATTCATGATTTCCGAGGGATGAGGGAATTTTGTAAGATCCCAGAACGGTCTGGATTGGAAGGGACCTTTAGTATCATCCAGTCTCTCCCCTTGCCATGGGCAAGGACACCTTCCCCTAGCCCAGGCTGCTCCATCGATTTGTCAAAGGAAACACACTCTGGGTAACTTAAAAGGCTCTTGTTCTCTGCCACTGCCAAACAATGATGAGTTCAGTGCAGAGCACTTGGCTATTCGTTGCAAAGCTGCAGGATGTCCAGGGGTGCAGGTTGGAAAGGGATTTGATACTTTTCTGGAGAGTTTTCAAAGCCTCAATACGAAACCAGTTGGTAAATCAGAAAGCTGGATCTGGAGAAACATGAAAATGAAGGGATTCTCTCCTTAGTCACCTCTGCTGTACAGGGGAGCCCCATCTCAGTGAGCATTTAAAGCACTGAGCAATTTGTGTGCTCAGAGGCACAGAGCAGCCTAGGAGTGTGTTTTTATTAATGCCTTAACTGCTCGTTAATTATATGAATTATAACAGCAATTACATGTGTTTAGCAATTATATCTGTTTATTTAAATTTACGTTTCAGTTATGTATCCTACATTTTATTGTGTGCAATTATGTAAACGATCCCCATCCCTGTCTGTGTGTGACTTTGGCCTGTCCCTGCCGTGCCCAGGCTGCCAAGCGGGAGCTGGAGAGGCAGCGGCAGCTGGAGTGGGAGCGGAACCGCCGGCAGGAGCTGCTCAACCAGAGGAACAAGGAGCAGGAGGACATCGTTGTCCTGAAGGCAAAGAAGAAAACCTTGGAATTCGAGCTGGAAGCTCTGGTGAGTGGTGGAGCCCCAGGTCAAACACACAGCGTGGCAGTGGCTGTGTGACGGTGACTGTGCCGTGGCTGGGTTTATTTGCCAGGATCTCACTTGTAAATTCGAAGTAAAAGTACTTTTTAGGTCCCTGACTTGCCTGACAAAACATTCTGGTAAAAATAAAACCAGAGATCCTTTTCTTTCCTTTTCAAGAACGACAAAAGGAACCAGTTGGAGGGAAAGCTTCAGGATATCAGGTGTCGGCTGTCGACCCAAAGGCAAGAAATTGAAAGTACAAACAAATCCAGAGAGCTCAGAATTGCAGAAATCACCCATTTGCAGCAGCAGCTACAGGTGAGCAAACCTCCTCTAATTTTATTCTTAGCCTTGAATTTTGGCCTCCTCAGCTGCGTTGATATCCTGAGCAAACCTGCCCCAACGTGGGGTGTGCTGTTCCTTGCCCTGAAAAAAATCACTGGAGATAATTTGTCATTCCTGGAAACCAGTGTTCTTCAGACACATCTAGGAATTGTGCCTGTGTGATAGACACAGAGGCTCTATCACTTCATCCTGCTGGAATCCTGCTGTGGGGAGCAGGAAAGAAACTGTTTGGCTGCAGGTGTTTGGGAGGAGGAGGAGAAGGGAGTTTTATGGCGTGGATTTTGATGGCAGTGGTTGCAGTTCGTGTGCTGGGAGAAAGGCTTGACTTCAGTGGAATGGCTTGTTGATGATGGATTATTAATTGTGGCATAATAAACTTTCAAAGCTGCAGTTCCCAGTTAGTTCCTGGTCTAGCCCTGGCATTGTCCTTTGCTGCTGCTCCATCTAAAATTCTCTGTCGAGTGGAAGTGGAACTGCATAAGTGTCTGATTTTAGTGAGAGAACGTGCTTTGGGGTCTGTAAAGGTCCTCAGGGGGTTGTAGGATTTCATTTAGGAACTTTTCTCTTTATTACATATTTCATATTGCTTGAAATTAATTCTTGGCCTGTCATGGGGCGTCTCAGTGTGTTTCTGCCTCTACAAAGATAATCTCACCCTTAGCTTAGGAGGGCTCAGGTGTAAAGCCTGACTTAAACCCCAATCCTGCTGCTCCATTCCAGCTTCACTCTTGCCTTCCCTGGCGGCTGTTCTGGTGGATCTTTGGCTTTGGGGTGGTCTTGCAGCAGTAGCTGTGGCTCTGTGGTAATACCTTCCCTCAGGTGCTCACTGATCTCCACCGCTGATATTTCAGGCAGAGTCACATGAGGTGTTTTTGTCCCAGAAACTGTCACTGCTTAGGAGAAAAGGCCAGATTTTATCTGGGGAGAACATAAAAGCTTTTTCCTGAAAAAAAAAAAAAAAACACATTATTTTTTCAACTCTCCTGTCAGTTTTTCTGTCTCATCTGTAGAGGACAGACTGAATCAGTGAGTTTTAGAAAAGGAGATTTTAATCATCCAAACTCTCACATAGGTTAAAAAGCCAGCACTGGCATTATCTCTGCAGGCTGATGTACCTTCCCCTGGAAAGAGTTGAGTTTAATACACTTGAAACTCCCTGTGGAAAGATGAGTCAATTCAAAGGAGTAATTATTCTTGAACCTATTAATTAGTTCCAAGATGGAGTTTCATTAAGCTTGTGACAGAAATTGTGCACCACTTAATCCTGGGTGCTGGGAGTTTGTGCTGGTTACCTGGATCTGTCTGGTCAAGTGGCATTTCCAGGGATGTTCAGAAGGATCCTCCCTTCCAAACCCCTGACCTGGGACTTGCTTATTACCTGCAGGGACCATTTGCCTCCTTGATGAATCCTTTGGCTCCCAAGGAATTGGAAGAGAACTTTGCCTTGTTCAAGGGGCAGGAGCTGGGATTTGATTTCACTGCCGTGTGGGACATTACTCAATTCTTGGACACTCCTTGTTGCATGAAACTTCAGAGTTAGTGATGCCATTAATGTCTTTCATCTGTTTCTCCAGTACAAGGGAAGGATGTGGAAAACCATCTGGTGGATGTTCTTGGATAGGTTCTTATTCCATGGTTGTCTGGGGTTTCAGGAAGCAGAATTTGACCTCCACGATCCCTTGGCGTTCTCTGTCCTTACACACTCTCCAAACTATTCAGTGTGTTGAGTAATCAGGAGTTTGGAAGTGTTCTGGCCTTTAAAACAAAACACTGAGGTGGTGATCTCATTCCACCCTGAAACGCTGTCCTGTGGTACTTTCTGTGCTTGCAGCATTTTTTCTGTAAACCCTGTTTTGTTTTGACTCCCATCCTGCTGTCTGGTTGATCTGCAGGGTTCTCAGTCCCAGACACACAGGCTGGTTGGGTTGGAGGGACCTGCCAGGTGCCCTGGGCAGTGCAGCTGGACAGGGAGTGCCACGTGTGGCTCCAGCACTCAGCTCTGCCGTAGCTGATTTTGGCTTCTTTGTGGATTCATGAAGTCCTTGACTCTGCTGTGCTGTCTCGGGGTATTTGCTGGAACAGAAGGAGATTACAGGAGTCTGCAGTCGTTGCATAATCGTCAGATGTGAGCTGGAACTGCAGAGCCCAGTCAAGGCCTGGCAGGAGGAAACTGGGACAATCTGGAGCCGTGTCAATGCAGCCAATCCCGTGGACCTGGAACAAAAACCGCAGCTTTCCATGGAACTCATGATTTGGGTTGGGAGGGACTTCAGAGCCCATCCAGTGCCACCCCTGCCATGGGCAGGGACACCTTCCACCAGCACAGGGTGCTCCAAGCCCCATCCAACATGGCCTGGGACACTTCCAGGGATGGGGAGTCCACAACCTCTCTGGGACTCACTCTGGTATTGAGCAGTCAGGTGACATTTATTCTTAGGGTGGTGTGATGTCATCTGCAATCCCTCCTGACAGATTGAACCTGTCAGCTGGCTGAGGCCTCAAAAGCCTGCAATTCTGGACAGCTGCTCCAAGGAATTGCTCTGTTTGTCTGAACGTTGGGATGTCCAGACCCAGGGGCCCTTGGTAAAATAAGCTGTTTCACCTCCTGCTGCTGTGACATGTTTTGACACCCTGAAGTTGGAGGTCAAGGCTTCTGAAAGGTGTGTGAAGCAGCTCTTCATCCTCCAGAAAGAGCAAGGATTCTTTATGGAACATAAGTATAAATGTATATATATATATATA